CATGGTTATAGTGTTCGCTGTCCACAAATGGAGTCACTATCTCATTAGGTGCAAGTTCATTATTCGGACGGATCAGTGTAGCCTTAAGTTCTTGACTGACCAGCGAGTAAAGACTCCCGAACAGCAAAAGTGGATTTCAAAAATGATGGGGCTTTCTTTCGAAATTCACTACCAACCAGGATCTTCCAACCAAGTGGCGGATACACTATCTTGTAGAGAGGAGGTAAGTGAGCTAGCTGCCATGACTGTGGCCTCTTTTTCAGACTTTGATGAATTAGCTTCTGAAGCTCAACAGGAACTAAAGCTACAAACCATTATACAGGATCTATTGTTCGACCCCACCAGCAGACCCCACTACCATCTCCGAAAAGGCTGTCTGCTTTACAAAAATAGAATTGTTATTCGAAAATTCTCCAAGTTCATCCCCAAGCTGCATGAGGAGTTTCATGGCAGCCCTAAGTGGCGGGCATTCAGGTTTCTTTCGCACATGTAAAAGAGTGGCTAGCCTTGTTTTTTGGGAAGGAATCAAGAGGGATGTTCAAGAATTTGTGAAGAGATGCACTGTTTGCCAACTCAATAAACATTCAACCCTTAAACCAACAGGCCTTCTCCAACCCTTACCCATTCCCACTCAGGTATTTGAGGATATTAGCATGGATTTCATTGGAGGGCTACCTAAGTTTTCGAGGCACGATACTATTCTTGTAGTGGTCAATAGACTCACCAAATATAGCCGCTTCATCCATCTTTGCCATCCCTATAATGCTAAAAAGGTGGCTGCTATTTTTCTATTTGAAATTGTAAGGCTCCATGGTTTTCCGAAATCGATTGTTTCTGATAGAGACATGATCTTCATTAGCCAATTTTGGCAAGAACTCTTCAAGGCTTTGGGTACTACGCTGAAATTCAGTTCCGCCTACTACCCATAAATAGATGGCCAAACAGAGGTAGTGAATAGATGTGTGGAGGCCTACTTGCAGTGCTTTTGTAGCTCTAAACCCAAGCACTGGTCCCGTTGGCTTTCTTGGGTAGAATTTTGGTACAATACGACGTACCACAGTTCCACACGAATGACCCCTTTTAAGGCTCTCTACGGCAGGGATCCTCCTACTCTACTCAAGTTCACAAATTGCCCATCAGCGGTAAAGGAAGTGAATCACCAGATGTTTGAGCGTAACTCCATCTTGGAGGAGCTTAAACATAATTTATCCGTCGCACAAGGGCATATGAAAGAGAGTGCAGATGTACACCACCGCGATGTGACTTTCCAACTTGGGGATCATGTGTTTTTGAAGCTCCAGCCCTATAGGTTTAAGTCCTTGGCCACGAAACAAAATGAGAAGCTTAGTCCCCGTTTTTATAGCCCTTTTCTCATCGTAGAACGAATTGGACAGGTTGCCTATAGGCTGGATTTGCCTTCTTCTGCTCGCATTCACTCGGTTTTCCATGTGTCTCAACTCAAGGGTAGCCTGCATGACTCCGTTCCCATCCAGCCGCTTCCCCGTGGCCTCACCGAGGACTTGGAACTCACTGTCCAGCCCGAATCTGTTCTAGCGGTCCGCTCTCTAATGGATGGTACCAAAGAGGTGCTTATAAAATGGCAGACCTTGACCTTGTTTGAAGCTACTTGAGAAGCCTGTGACCTCATCAACCTCTAGTTTCCTCTTTTCCATCTTGAGGACAAGGTGGCTCTTCAAAGAGAGATGAGGAGGGGGGGGGGGGGGGGGGGGAGGGGGGGGGGGGTTGGGGGGGGGGGGGGGGGGGGGGGTTGGTGTTGATAGGCCCCTTATCATAAAGGTTTATCAATACAAGGGGAACAAGGGCAGAAGGGGTGAACGTGTGAATCACATAAAGGTGGTCTCTAAAAGTTGTTATGCCAGTAATTCAGTTAGAGGAAATGCAAGTGGCATAGAGTACGTGGAGGAATATGGGTAAAGGTCACTAGTATTTAAGGCAGTTAGAATGAATATACAGATCATATTTCCTCTAAAAGGGTTTCAATGGAGGCCCCTAGCTCCTCGATTGCTAGGACTTTCCTTTCTTGTTTTCTTTTTTGTTAGCAAGTCTGATTGTACTCATCAAACTGTTCAATCTTCAATCAATATTTTGTTGGTTTACATATTGCTCTTGATTTTGTGGATGTGTTGTGTGTATTTTGATTGAGTTTGCTGGGGTCCCATCAGTAACCAAATCAAATGCTTAACCATAGTCAACATACTCCCCACACCACTCATGGTCCTCAGCAGCCAGTTGGAAGTAGGTCAACCAACTGTAATGAAAGCGTGACTATCAATAGAATAATAAGATGAAACAAATGCTGTATATAGTGTAAATCTTGTGACCCCATACACTGGCAAACATATATAAACTTCAATGAATGGAAGAAACCTGCCATTGCCATCTGTGGATTGCCCCTGGGTACCCACATCAGGTGGAATTCTGGGTTATAATAAAAAAACCAATGGATCCCCAAATACTGAGAGTACTTGTCCATCCTCTTCTCAAATGGGATGTTTGTCTATTCCATTTCACAGTATATAAAAATTTCCTTCTACTGCTTGGTCCTCGGTAAGATCAGCAAGGATATTGGGTCAACGCGGACATTGATTTCAATCACACGGTCCTTGTAACCGATATCAAAGTGAAATGCTTGAAAAGCAATATTTGCACTCGCTGGTTTCTTTCCCTTCCTGGTTGACCTTCCCTATGAAACCCCAAATGGGTAAGTCATCATAGTACATCTGGAATAGTAATCCTTCTTGACAGCAGATCGAAACCGCGCCGCTTCCTCCTTCATGAACTTTTTCTTCCACAAAATTCAGAATCTTTATCACGTAAGAAGTCAAGCTGGTAGGGAGCACTGACTAATCGATTCCCATTCAACGCTTACCAAAAGCTTCCTTCTTCTCTTTCAGAGAGCTGCAAAAGGTATGGTAAAACCAAAATTTCCATAACAAAAATCTCACATATACATCAAAGAAAAACTCCAGATAAATAACTGCAAACCTGCAACAAAAGGAAGATTAAAATAGCGTAGGTTTCACTGCAGCCAAAAAAACAAAACACATTAAACCTATAATGCTTCACCTTTAAAGTTTAAACTTCAAATGAATCTCCAAGAAAAAGTCCCTTTATCGTGCAGAGCTAAAGAATGACGAAGCATCACACAACATCATTGATCTGCAAAATGAATCTAACATAGACACAAATCCAGTAACATCACCCGGTTTTTAAATAGTTAATCTTCAAATTATCCGATCATTTCGCCTATTATAAATAAATAAATTTCTTTAACTGATCATATAAAAAATCAGTTCAACATATAACGTGCACAAACAACTTGATTTAACGACTTTGACGGTACGTTTATTAACATACCATACTCAAGATTTAAAGAAGATTCAAGAAGATTGAGAAAGGAAACTAAGGTTCATGTTTAAGATTAGCAAAGAAAAAGAGAGTAAATTAAATAATACACAACTAAGCAAAAGTATTAAACTACCCTTAAGAATAAGTAAAAGTACATATAAATCCTAACACTGTTTACTAACACAAACTATTTCATGTAAATACAAAACAACCCTTAAGCACCTTCTCCTAGACACTAAATATTTTTCAATTTTTCCAAAAATTGTTTGTTTACAAATTTTCTCCTAGTCTCCTCACGACAACCGCCCTTTCATCAACTAAACACCCCGCTTAGATGCTTCACACCGAAATCATATGAAAAACTTCGTGAAATTGAGATCAAATCCTTAGAAATCACATCTGAAACCACGGCCATGTTCTAGTGTTGCATTTTTATATGCTTTCTTTGATTGATGCTATTCTGATCAGCCTTGGCCAATGTTAAACTTATCAAAAAAAAAAAATTTACCTTTGGTTGGATCAAGAAAATTTCAGTACCTTGAGATCTTTGGCACGTCATATTATCAAATTATCCCATCACACTGCTTCACATATCCTCATTGGAGAATTCTAACAATCTTATGGCATCAGAAACCTTAAACAGGCTCTGAATGATTAGAACATAAATAAGCAATCGACTTTGAAAAATAGGAAAAAGATTAAAAAGATAGAAACTCTAAAATTATATAAAAAATTATACCATATTCAAAGATACCCAAAGTATATTTCCGCATTCAAGAAAGAAGAATTCTCCTGATGTACAACAAGACGAGATGATGAGATTCCTATACTACCTTATAAAAAAAACAAGGAACAAATCCCTAAAATACATGATACATTTAAATTTACATTCTTGATAATGAAAAACTGAAATATAACTTCATATCGAAAGGAAAATCATACTTCATACATCACTAACAACATGAATTTAATTTGAATGTAAACAGATTGAGCGAGCTGATATGTGTTGAAATTTCTAAGGCTATGATTGCCATGTGTGCCTCAGATGCAGAAGGGCATGTCCCAAGATTTACTTCAAGCAAATGAGCAATGAAGTCAATAAAGCCCTGGTCCCCCATCATCAATCAACCACAAATTGCAAAAATAAGAGTTTAATTATATTAGAGGGATCAGAATTCAGGTGAGCAATAAAAAATTAAAATAAGCAAAAAACACTTAAAAAGACAATAAAGGGGTATATGTCAACATATGATCGAAGGATGCTACATATAAACATACCAAATCAGCCTATGGGTACTCATAAAGGTCAAGACAAAAAGATCAAATCATAGGCTGCAAACCCCTTTGACGCATCAATTCCAACAACCCATTAGCTTCCTCTATTTTCCCCTCCTTGCAAAGCCCATTTATCATTGTACTAAACATTACCACATTAGGTCCCAAACCTCTTTGAATCATAATTTCCAACAACCCATTAGCTTCCTCCGCCTTCCCCTCCTTCCAAAGCCCGCTTATCATTGTAGTAAACGTTAACACATTAGGCTGCATACCTCTTTGATTCATCAATTCCAACAACCCCTTAGCTCACTTGTAAAACCCCTCCCTAGCCGGGTATTTCCTAAGNAGCTAAAAGGAAGGGAAAGTGAAATTCGGTTGCAGAAGGAAAGAATGTCAGATCCGTACGGGAGAGTGAAGGGAGGGAGGCTGAGCTTCAAAGACGGAAGTCTCGCCACTCGCAAATCCATCGAGAAGAAGAAAAAGAAGAAGAAGCACAAGAAAGATGATGAATCTCAGCCGTCCACCGCCGTCGATGGGTCTGATAACACAAACAACGAGGCAGGACAAACCTACACTATCGACGCTGCTAAAAACATGAAGTACGACGAGCTCTTCCCCGTCGAGACCAAAAAGTTCGGTTACGATCCTAAAGCCAACGTTAAAACCGTCGAAGACGCTCTCGATGATCGCGTCAAGAAGAAGGCTGATCGTTACTGTAAATGAAACGAAACGAAACTCGCTCTCTGTATGTTCTAAAACAACACTGTTTTTGTATTTTAAGCGTTTTATTCTTATAAAGTATTTTTAACCTAGAAGTTCTAATCTATGAATTTTAGTTTATGCTTACTTGCGAGCTTGAAAGAAGTGAAGAGAAACTAATTTTTGAGAATCTTGTTGTTTCTCTGTTTTTTAGCTTTTCAGTGCTTCAAATTTTAGGGCTTTGTATAGAACTGCAATGTTTGAGTTTCTATCTGTTGTGAGCTTCTCAATTTGCATATTACCGCACTGTGTCAGTTCTTGTTTAAAGAATTTCTGAAATTTGAAGAATTAGGTGATGTTCCGAAAGGTTAGTGCATTGGAAATTGGGGTTTAGGCATCGTTGAATCAGTTCTGATTTCAATTTTCTAGCCTCTTCCTGCATTAGAATTTCGTTATGGTCTTGTTCCCAACGGGCAGATAATTCTGTGACTTTAATTTACTTTCATAGGTTGCTGACTAGCATTAAAGTTTTGACCTCTTCAAAATACTTTACCAACTTAGCTGACATACTTGATATCTCAATCACAGCCAGTACATCTCTAGCCATACTGCTAGGGGGACTTTAAAGAGATGCTTTATGGATTGTAGAAAAAATGAAGATAAGTAATTGGGGGTAGGTTTTAACTCTTTACTACAAGTTGGTGCTGGTGGGTGTCAGGTGTCCCCATGAAGTTTGTTGCAGTATTAGTCATGGTTGGGAAGATTATCCTAAGTCATAGACTTCCAATGTTTGAAATAGGACTGGCTTGTAATTTTAGAAATTTCTGAATCAGTATACAAGGGAGATGTAGTTAACATTGTTGGGTACATCTAATGGTGTGCAGTTTCAGAAATTATTTTCTGAAGCAGCATATAAGGTAACTCATTTTGAAACTTTGTCAGTGCATTACTAGCTTGTCTTAAAGTTTGGTTACTTATAGTAACTTTTTGAATTTATTGAGTTGTGATATTGTGCTTGACTTCATGGGTTGTACGACTATTGGAGTTATGGGAAAATGAAGAAATGTCTAGAGCGTATTATTTGCTTAATGTGGACTATATTCCAAGGAACTCAGAAAGCATGTGTTGGTAAATATCATGATATTGCCATATTATCCAATATCATTCAACTCAGAGGCTTTCATGTGGATGAAAGAGATTTGCCTTACATGGTTTAGACTAGTGTTAAATTGGCTCTAAGTTTTGGTCTTTAAGAGTAATAAGTGGTGTCCATCTCTGTGGAGGGGGTTCTCATTTTTTCTGAAGCTAGTCTTTATATACCTATTTGTGCTGATTAGAATCATGGATGACTGAATTTCATTTTTTCTTCTGATGTAGGAGCATCCATCCCTAGGAGGAAACAGTCTGTTGGAATTATGGAAGTACTTGATTCTATTACTTTCATTTTCTTTTACCCGTAATTACTTTGTCTTCGATATGGGTATTTTACCAATTTGTCAAATCTTGAACATGGTTTTCTTTAGGCTGCTATTTGGATATCTTTGTGATGGCTGATGTCGTACTTTAATGGTTGTTATGTTGTATCTTGGCCATCGAAATCAATTTTAGAAGTATACACATTAAGTAGGATTATGTTGGGCTTGATAGGTTGCTTATATTTGGATTATACTTAATAAAAAATCCTTGAAATTATTAGAAATTTTTGTGGCGGCTTTTATAATGAGTATCTCTATGACGTTATTTGATGTATCAATTGGTATGGACACGTCAAAACAACTTCTACATACAATCCTAAACCATTATGTGTCATCTTTAACAACATGGAAGATGGTTTCTTCTATAGTCAATTGCATCAACATTTATCATGTCAGCTTCTTGTTGCCCTTTGCACCTCCTCTGGGTCAAATCTACGCAACAAGCAATAACTATTCATCAATGTGCTATAAATAAATGTGTCTGATTGCAAACCTTTTTGGATATATTGTTTACTACCTTGGTAGCAATATAATGTTTAAGGGTACGCTAACAGTTCTTCATTAACGGGCAGAAAGATTGCTCAAATATTGTAGCTATTAATTTCCTACACAATTAACTTCGTTTTCAGCTTCTCATTCTGAAAGAGCCTTGACTATTGGATTCATTGCCGGTCTCATGTTTCAATCTTCTTCCAAACTAGACATGCTACTTTCAACAACAATTTTGCAGCCTGGTTCATGTGAAAGAGTTTCCAAATTGAACTCACTTCAGCCTAAAATGCTTCTTTTCTCAACATATATTTCCTAGTCTTTTCACGGCGGCCACCCTTCCATCAACTAAAACACCTGCTTAGATGCTTCACAACGGAAATCATATATGCAAAGCTTCAGTGAAATTGAGATCAAATCCTTAGAAATCAACTTTTGGAACAGTAATTAGTTCTAGTGTTGCTTTCTTTTGATTGATGGATATTCTTGATACGAAAATGATAGTCACCGAAGGTTGCGCATTGAATCTGTGCACCGAATGACGTGATAAAATCCTGACCGTTGATTAATATTAACTGATAATAAATAAACGGTCAGGATTTTGTCACGTCATTCGGTATACATATTCGGTGCGCAACCTTCGGTGGCTGTAGCATTACTCTTCTTGATAAGCTTTGGTCAATATAAAACTTATCAAAACAGATTTACCTTTGGTTGGATCAAGAAAATTTCAATACCTTGAGATCTTTGGCTCGTCATTATCAAATTATTCTACCATACTGCTTTAGATATCCTCATTAGAGAATTCTTCAAATTTTATGGCAATAGGAATCAGCAATCGACTTTGAAAAATGGGAAAAACTCTAAAATTATATTAAAAAAAGTCTACCATATTCAAAGATACTGAAAGTATATTTTCTCATACAAGAAAGAAGAATTCTCTTGATGTCCAACAAGACGAGATGAGATTCCTATACTATGTTATCAAACAAAGCGAGGAAGTAGGAACGTATCCCTCAAATACATGACACAAGCAAATTTACATCCTTGATAATGAAAAACTGAAATACAACTATGTATGGAAAAGGAAAATTACTTCATAAGTCTCCAACAACATGAATTTAATTTGAGTGAAAACAGATTGTGCGAGCGGATACAGGTTGGAACTTCTAAGGCTATGATTGCATTAGGTGCTTCAGAGCCTCAGATGCAGAAGGATATGTCCTAAGATTTACTTCAAGCAAATAAGCAACGAAGTCAATGAAGCCCTGGTCCCCCATCAGCAATCAGTAACATAATGACATTTTTGTGGTATCAGGTATTAAAGTCTGTTGGTTTCCAGAAAAATAGAAGACTACAACATGCAATCACTACTAAAGAAATTCAGTAAACAGAATAATGCCACAAGTATATCTAACTTGTCAAGACATGCACTGTAGAAGAACAACAAGTATTTGATGATTGACGAAAATACAGTCGGAAAACAATGATATAATAGTATTTGAGCAAACACCAAGTAGGATGTTAAAGTTCTAGCTTCATGCTTTGAAAGAACTTGGGTAAATGAGCATTTAAACAAACAAAAGATGTCTATTTCCTCAATGGCTATCTTAAAATTTTCCTTCAGGGTTAAACTCCGAGCGGCAGATATTTGCAAAAACAATCAAGTGTCATCTTTACCTTATGGCATTATACTCTCAGAATATCCAGAGCTCATTGCAAAAATAAGAGTTAAAAATAATTAGAGGAATAAGAATTCAGGTGACCAATAACAAATTGAAATAAGCAAAAGAAGGTAAAAATAATATAAAGGGTTATATATGTCAAGATTTATGATCGCAAGGTGGAACATATAAAGATACCAAAACGGCCTGTGGGTACTTATAGAGGTCAAGACTAGAAGACCAGATCATAGGCTGCAAGCCTGCAAACCTCTCTGACTCATTAATTCCACCAAACCATGAGCTTCCTCCATCTTCCCCACCTTGCAAAGCCCACTTATCATTGTAGTAAACGTCACCACATCAGGCTGCAAACCTCTCAGACTCATCAATTCCAACAACCCATTTGCTTCCTCCATCTTCGCCTCCTTGCAAAGCTCACTTATCATTATGGTATACGTCACCACATCAGGTTGCAAACCACTTTGGCTCATCAATTCCAACAACCCATTAGCTTCCTCAATCTTCCCTTCCTTGCAAAGCCAATTTATCATTGTATTAAAAGTCACAAGATTAGGCTGCAAACCTCTTTGAATCATAAATTCCAACAACCCATTGGCTTTCTCTATCTTCCCCTCCTTACAAAACCCATTTACCATTGTAGTAAATGTTACCACATCAGGCTGCAAACCTCTTTGACTCATCAATTCCAACAACCCATTTGCTTCCTCTGTCTTCCCCTCCTTGCAAAGCCTGCTTATCATTGTATTAAAAGTCACCACATCAGGCTGCAGACCTCTTTGACTCATCAATTCCAAAAACCCATTAGCTTCCTCCGTCTTCCCATCCTCGCAAAGCCCATTTATCATTGTATGAAATGTCACCACATTAGGATGCAAACCTCTTTGACTCATCAATTCCAACAACCCATTAGCTTCCTCCATCTTCCCCTCCTTGCACAGCCCATTTATCATTGTATTAAAAGTCACCACATTAGGCTGCAAACCTCTTTGACTCATCAATTCCAACAACCTATTAGCTTCCTCCATCTTCCCCTCCTTGCAAAGCCCATCTATCATCGTATTAAAAGTCACCACATTAGGCTGCAAACCTCTTTGACTCATCAATTCCAACAACCCATTAGCTTCCTCTGTCTTCCTCTCCTTGCAAAGCCCATCAATCATTGTAGTAAACGTAACCACATTAGACTGCAAACCTCTTTGAATCATCAATTCTAACAACCCATTAGCTTCCTCCATCTTCCTCTCCTTGCAAAGCCCATTAATCATTGTAGTAAACGTAACAACATTAGGCTGCAAACCTCTTTGAATCATCAATTCCAAAAACCCATTAGCTTCCTCCGTCCTCCCCACCTTGCGAAGCCCATTTATCATTGTAGTAAATGTCACAACATTAGGCTACAAACCTCTTTGATTCATCAATTCCAACAACCTATTAGCTTCCTCCATCCTCCCCTCCTTGCAAAGCCCATTTATCATTGTTGTAAATGTCACCACATTAGGCTGCAAACCTCTTTGAATCATCATTTCCATCAACCCATTAGCTTCCTCTATCCTTCCCTCCTTGCAAAGCCCTTTTATCATTGTAGTAAACGTAACCACATTAGGCTGGAAACCTCTTTGAATCATCAATTCTGAAAACCCATAAGCTTCCCCCGTCTTACCCTCCTTGCAAAGCACGCTTATCATTGTAGTAAATGTCACCAAATTAGGCTGCAAACCTCTTTGAATCATCAATTCCAACAACCCATTAGCTTCCTCCATCTTTCTCTCCTTGCAAAGCCCATTTATCATTGAATTAAAAGTCACCACATTAGGCTGCAAACCTTGATCCCCCATCTCAATAAACAAACTCTCAGCCTCCTCCAAATTTCCCACAAAACACCAACCATAAATTAGAGAGGTACAAACAACCACATTTGGCTTAATTCCTCTACTCTTCATTTCCAAAAATAATTCTTTTGCCTCATCTACCACCCCATCTTTGCAAAGGCCACCGATAATACTACCATAACAAACAATATCAGACCTGACCCTAAACACAGCCATTTTCTTGAACAACTCTATAGCCTCCAAACTCCTATTCTCCAAACACAAACCTTTAATCAAAGAACTAAAAGTCACAACATCTGGGTTAAAAGCCCACCTCAAAATTCTCCAAAAAACAACAAAACCATCACAAACTCGACCCACATTACAAAAACAATTAATCAAAATATTTAATGTAATTAAATCTGGCATCAACCACATTGAATCCAGTCGTTTGTAAAGCAAAATAACGTCTTCATAAAACTTCTTCTTAGCAAGAGCTCCAAAAAACCGGTTGAATGATGAAATCGGTGGTTTGGGTTGCATATGAATCATTAAACTAAAGAAATAGCGTGCGTCAGCCAGAGTGATATTACCTTGTTTACAGTCTTTTCGAAGGAATACATCAAGCCTCGCAGCATCTTCAACGTTATATATTGAATCTTGTATATCAAGCCTAGCTACATCTTCAATGTTATATGCTGAATCTTGTATATCAAGCCTTGCTACGTCTTTAGCGTTATATACTAAATCTTGTGGTATGGTTGTAGTCACTTTACATGAATTTGTGAATAAAGATGAGACTTTGGTTTCAGAATGTTATGCCTAAAAATATAAGGGCTGACGTCAGGACCCTTTAGCCTGCAATAGTCAGATCATTGGAACAACCACCATCTGTGTCTGTCAGGATAGTAGGCGCGCGTCAAGCTAGTCAAGAGGCTGTGGTGCTCCCACATGTACAATCCCTGCTCTAAATCGCGCAAATCACTATGGAAGGTGGGCAATGTGACATAAAGAAGGATTTGCACGGATAATCCCACCAACTTGCAGATTTAGTGATCATTGCCTCAAGGCATCTGACTATAAATGGGGAATTCATCTCTCATTAAAGGGATTCTCACATTTTACGCTTGATTAATTACTCTCTTCAGAATTCTTAGCAATTGATACCTTGTAATACCATTGTAAAGTCAGTTAGCTAACAGCGACCTGACCCCTATCATCAATACAAACATTAGTGGACGTAGGACTTGCTACCTTAGCATCCGAACCACTTTAAAAATTGTCTCCATTGCATTTACTACCTTTTATCCATTATATTCACGTGTGTCTTCTGAGTCCATACAACATCTCACATGTGCATTTCGTTGGTGCAAAATCACGCATCAACAGTTTGGCACTAGAAGGAGGGGCCTTGTTTTAGTGTTCATCCTTCATCAGGAGAGTCTCTAACTTACCGGTCCTACAGCAACATATGGCCCGCCAATTAGAACATGAGCAAACCAACCAGGGCACCCAGGGGTCCCCCCAAGTTCAGAGGGATACTTCTTCCAAAAAACCTTCAGTCCCGCAGAATGCTGTGGGAGATATCCCGTCAAGCTCACAGCTTGACCTCGCTATAAGGAGCTACCTGGAGAGGTTTGACAATACTCTCCAGACGATCAACCAAAGGTTGGACCGTTGGACCGATTGAGGATTTGTCCGAGGTATCGGTTGATCCAAAAGAGCCGAGCCGAGTGTTAAGAATTGGAAGTTGTCTCAATCCCCAGGTCGCGGCCGAGCTGATAAACTTCCTGATTGAAAACATCGATGTGTTTGCCTGGTCGCATGCAAATATGGTCGGGATTAGCCCAGACATCATTGCCATACGCTAAACATCGACAGCGAAGCCAAGGCAGTTCGCCAAAAAAGAAGAGCAATGGATCCGGAGCAGTATACCGCCTTGAAATTAGAAGTGGACAACCTCCTCCGAAATGGGTTCATCCGAGAGGCACTCTACCTAACCTGGGTTGCCAACCTGGTTCTGGTAAAAAAGCCAAATGGCAAGTGGCGAACTTGCGTCGACTTCAGCGACCTCAATAAGGCCTGCCCTAAAGACAGCTTCCCTCTGCCAAGAATTGACCAGCTCGTGGATGCCACCTTGGGACACGAGCTGCTTAGTTTCATGGATGCATACTCAGGATACAATCAAATTCCGATGTATGGGCCGGACGAGGAGCATACGTCCTTCATTACAGACAGGGGGCTATATTGTTATAAAGTTATGCCTTTCGACCTCAAGAATGCTGACGCGACCTACCAGCGATTGGTTAACCGAATGTTCTCCGACCAGATCGGAAGAACAATGGAGGTCTATGTGGATGACATGCTAGTCAAATCCCAGGCCGCCTTAGGACACATCGCGCATCTCGCTGAGATGTTTGACATCTTCCGGCTGTACAGAATGAAACTGAATCCTCTCAAGTGTTCATTCGGGGTATCATCAGGAAAGTTCCTGGGGTATATGGTTAACCAGCGGGGGATAGAAATAAACCCCGAGAAGATTCAAGCTCTGCTCGATATGGATAGCCCGACCAGCAAAAAGCAGGTCATGTGTCTTAACATGCGAATAACGGCACTTAGTCGCTTCATATCAAGATTAACATATCGCTACTTGCCGTTTTTCAATGTTCTAAAGGCCAACAAGAAGTTCGAATGGGCACCCGAGTGCGAACAGGTGTTCCAAAGCATAAAGGAACATCTCGAGAAACCACCTCTCCTGTCTAAGCCTTTTCCACAAGAAATCCTGCTTCTGTACTTGTCCGTTTCTCAGTTCACGGCTAGTGCAGCTCTGATTCGGGAAGAGGAAAAGGCGCAGTGGCCAGTGTATTATGCGAGCAAGCGCTTGACGGATGCCGAGATGCGGTATCCAGAAATGGAGCGATTAGCCTATGCCCTGCTGATCGCTTACAGAAAGTTGACCTTACTTCCACGCCCATACTATCCATGTGATGACTAATTACCCACTCAGGCAAGTCCTTCAAAAGCCAGAAGCATCGGGTAAATTGCTTAAATGGGCCATGGAATTAAGCCAGTTCGATCTTAAGTATAAGCCGAGATCGACCATAAAAGGGCAGGCAGTTGCTGACTTTATCTTAGAATTTTCCTATCTTCCGAGCGAGTAACAGCCTAGCGAAGCCATTCAGGAAGATATTCAGAACCTGTCGACCTGGAACCTCTACGTCGACGGGTCATCAAACAGGAAAAGGGCCAGTGCTGGCCTCCTTCTTTTGAGCCCCGAAGGGGCTCGCATTCACGGCATTCTTCGGTTCGGATTTAAGGCGACCAATAACGAGGTTGAATATGAAGCTTTGCTCGCCGGGTTGAGGTTGGCCAGAGAAATAGGCGCAACCGCGATCAGTGTGTACAACGATTCCATGCTGGTCGTCAACCAAATTTTGGGAGAATATCAAGCCAAGGAAGAGAACATGGTTCGTTATCTGAAAAACGCCAAGGCCGCACTCGAGTCGTTCAAACATTTTGAAATCACTCAGATTCCCAGAGACAACAATTCTGTGGCTGACGCCCTGGCAAGGATAGCCTTGTCGTTGGACTTAGAGGCACCAGATAGTATTCCTGTTCGACTCATCGAAACCCCAAGCATCAGCCCGATCGAACAGGCCGTGAATGAGACTCGTTCTGACTCCTGGATGACTCCCATTGTTCAGTACCTCAAGGATGGGACCTTGTTGGACGACAAGGTTGAGGCAAGGGTCCTGCAAACAAGATCTGCTCGCTACACCCTCATCGGGGATCTGCTTTACAGAAGAGGATTTACTGCCTCTCTCCTTTGATGTGTAACCAGCGAAGAAGCGGACTACATCATGAGGGAAATTCATGAAGGGATCTACGGTAATCACACCACCGTACGATCTCTTGCAAACAAGGTCGTTCGTCAAGGGTACTATTGGCCCCAAATTCAAGATGACGCTTACGACTTTGTCAAGAGGTGTGATAAGTGTCAACGGTTCGCAAGCATACCGCGAGCTCCTTCCTACGAACTGATAACTATGACTAGCCCCTGACCATTTTCCATGTGGGGGATCGATCTCATAGGCCCCTTGCCGGTTGGAAAAGGGGGAGTCAAATATGTTGTGGTCGCGGTAGATTACTTCACCAAATGGGTAGAAGCTAAACCGCTAGCCGCGATCACGACCAGAAAGCTGAAGGACTTCGTTTTCAAGAATATTGTGTGCCGTTTTGGAATTCCTCACACCCTCATTTCAGATAATGGAAAACAGTTCGACAATGAGGAATTCAAACAGTTTTGTGACGAGCTGGGCATCCATAAGAAATTCGCCTCTGTGGTAAGACCGCAAGCAAATGGCCAAGTTGAAGCTGTCAATAAAACCATCAAGCACACTCTGAAGGCGAAACTTGGCGCAGCTAAGGGGAATTGGGCCGACGACCTCCCCGAAGTCCTATGGGCATACCGAACAACTCCAAGAACCTCCACCTTGGAAATACCCTTTTCGCTGGCATACGGAAGCGAAGCAATGATTCCTGTCGAGGTGGGAACTGGTTCGCTTTGGAGAGACTTGTACAATGAGATCGATAACGAATCACTCATAAGGGCGAGCCTAGACCTTATTGAAGAACATCGCAGCAAGGCTTCGCTAAGGATAGCAACCTATCAGCAACGCACGAAGAAGTTATTCGATTCAAAGGTCAGGCGAAGAGACTTCCAGGTCGGTGACCTGGTGTTAAAAGAAGTTCTCCTCGGAACCAGAGAACCAAGTGCGAGAGTTTTAAGGCCGAACTGGGAAGGTCCGTACCGCATTGATAAAGTAATTAGACCGGGGACTTATCATCTTAAAAGGCTAAACGGTTCCAAGGTACCTCAGGCCTGGAATGCTGAACATCTTCGGCCATACTATCAGTAATTCCGAACTCAGCTTCCCTTGTAAATTAATTTTTGATTTTTGTAAGTCATTTCTTTGTAAAGTTTTTATCTTGCGCATTTGTAAACAATCTCCATGTATGATCCTTTTTGTGCGAATAAGTTATGTTATCTTTGACTCAATGAATGTAAACGATCAGAAAGAACTCATGTATGATAAAGCGAACAGAAAATTGTAAAGGCAAAAATGCATTTCATTACTATGGAGTACAGCAGGAAAGAAGACATGATTACAAAACCTAATCCAACCCCTATAGGGTCGACCTCTTTGTCCTAAGGCTGGTCGACTGGGGGTTTATCTGTGGCGTGTCCCGAACTCTCTGGTCGGGAGGCCGTCGCTTCATCATCCTCCTGTGCCATGGACATGAGTGCTTCCTGCCAGTCTGGCAGGAGGTCAGACAGGTCAAGGAGAGGATTCTTTGGTCTCAAGGCATAAATAGAGTCGATTGCCCAGTCAGCAGCCTTCTCCTCGAGCTCCTCTGTCAAAGAAACAACTTTCCCTTGACTCTCCTGAAGTTCAACTTCAAGAACCTGCCTTAGATTCTCAGAGGTCTCTCTCTCCTTTTTTGCTCGCGTGACCTGCAAGGAGGTCGCCTTCAGCTCCTGGTCCTTCTCCCCGGCCAGTCTGGAGAACCCGGATACGATCCTCTGCAGCTCCTTTATCTCCTCTCCCTGCTTCTCAAGCTGCACTTTCTGGAAATCCATCGTGCTAAGAGCCGCGTTTCTTTCAT